AACGTGTTAAAGCGGGAATATCACCTTCAAAGATATAATAAACGTGCATAAAATGCTACAACTATGTTGGGGATGATAAATTTTGCTCGAGTCACTACAATAGATTTTGTGTTTGTGTGAAAGTAACTTCTGAAGAATGTATTGTTAGATAAAGAAAAAGTTACCGAAATATTTGAAAAATGCGCTTCTTTTGGAGAATGCATGATTGAAAATGAGTTTTGAAGAAAAATGATTTTCAAGTAATAACCTTTGAATGAGGACTTTAACTAAGTTCGCGCTCAACTCAACAAATGCTTGTTTGGGAGAAATTTTTTGAAAAAATATTTTGTCCTAAAATCATTTTGACCATAATAAGACTCATAATTTTTGTCTACTTTTTAACCACACCTTTTCAAAAAAATAAATAAATCAATAAATAAAATAAAATAAAAAATGATTTTTTACTAGAAAAAATCTATCACAAACAAATTCTAAGTGATTTAACTTGATTCCTTAGGATAAAGTATAAGTACATAAAAGTCATGATTGGGATTTTCAACTTACGTACTTGAATTGAAAGTAAAACTTGAAATGCAGAAATTTAAACTAAGACAATATGATAAAACACTCGACGTCACTCTTAAACCAAATAGGAAAAAGTCAAACGTTCAAGGTGGGGGACAGGCTTAAAAACAGGGCGCCCTGGACAGGAAGCAAAACTAAACCAAATAAATAAATAAGTCAACATAAAACTTCGACTACAGAGATTGGATCATACCAACATAGCCCAAGAGATATCCATTGACGATACAGTGTCGAGCATTCTCATGGGGCATGTTTACGGAGAAATTTAGAGATGTAAATTAAGCCCCGTTTGACTCTTATTTTTTGAAATGAATATGAGTTGAATAGTGTCTTCTTGAAAAATAAGTGGTTGAAAAAGAAGGAAGAATTTTCGATTTATGTGTAATATTATTTTAAGGGAGATTGTATAGTTAAAAATATGAGAGAAAAAGATGAAATAGAATTTACTGGGCAGGGCGGGGGGCGGGGGGAGGGGCTAAGTGTGTCAAGCTATCAACAAGTGCCTTCACCTAGAAAATTAGAAAATTCAAGAAAAGTAATAGTCTAACGATTTTCACAAGAATAATGCCGTGTAGCACATGCGACGCTGGACTCTACTTCCTTATAGAGGGGTGCCACATAGCCACTCATTCTATAGAGTGATTTATCTATTTCCGTTATAAAGAAACAGTAGATACACATTAGGTAAAATAGTTTCTCTCTAACTTGTTAAACTTATGTTAAAATCCTATCGCATTTGCAGTTATTGACTTAAATGTTGAAGCCAAATTCACACACCTCTAATCTCTTTGGTGGCTGAGCTTCGCGCATTGGCACATATCATGTCAATTGAAGATTGTAACCATGTTGGAAAATTACACCGATATTATACATATTATATTCACAAAATCATGTCGTTTATTTGCGTGAAATCAAAACGCAATTTCGACTTACAGAGATAGGATTTGAGAAGAAAAAATAAGAATTTATCGAATCCGAATACCTGAATATGGATTCTTCCCTTTCAACTCATGATCAAAAACAAATAATTCTTTGGATCAAACCTTGCAGGATAAACATATAAATAACGTTAATCATTTTCTGAAATCAAATTATAATAAAAGGAATCAGAAAATGAAGAAAGAAAATGCAAATGACAAATTTTTGGTCGAGGCAAATGTTGGACACTTTGTCCTTAAGATTAATTTGCCTCGCATCGGTGCTAACGGTTCTCCGGCAATCATCTCCCAAGATATAACGACCACGTCGAGCCATACGAGCACTCCAAATGACTTTGACCAGCGAACTCGAACGAAATTCTCTCTCTACCGTGACCATGACCATGACCATGACTTTGATGCAAATGTTTTATGCAAAACCAATGTGTAAATTGGAATAAAATGATATGGTATCTATGATTTTCTTGAATGAATAAAATTCAAACACGTGGGGTCTATATATATAGTAGTTGGAAAGGTATGTCAAAAGACACAATCATACCAAGAGACACATCTCTTGGAATTCATAATTATTGGACATTAATCATACTCATACCAAGAGTCATGATATTTCATACGAAAAGCCACATTTTTTTCTCCATATATTTCTAGAATATTCCACAATATTCTATACGATTTTTCCAATAATTTCTAGTATTTAAGTGGTTGACATTTGGTTTAATTTCTCATTCACGAAATAACGAATTCCACTTAAATAATCATTTAAAATTGGTCACAACCAATTTTCAATAAAAAAAATTCCAACAATCCCCCATATGAATGAAAATTAATGCAAATGTATATGCAGACACTAGTAAAGAGAGAGCAGGAAAACATTGCATCAGGTAAGGTAGCTTTTGGCTTTGAACATTCCCTAGTGAAATACCATCGGATTTACTAGATAATTGGTGAACGTGATGTTCTTGAACCATCAGTCGTTAGCATAAACCAAGACAATAATATTCACACAATATCTCCCATAAACCGTTCATGATTCTCATGACTTGGTTCATTTTGGCCCTAAACCCATCTTGGTTCTGTAAGTGTTTAAAAAATTCAAGCCTTGAATAATTCTCATTGAAGCGGTCCCACTTCACACTTACATAGGTGATCTCCTATTAAAAGTATTTTGCCCTACTCCAATTGACTTAATCAAGATATAGGAATCATTAAAAGTTTATCTTAACCTCCAATTACTCTGCAGAAAGCACTTTGATATCATAGGAATGAGTTAGGAAATTAGTTTCCTAAGTGTTTCATAGAATTCTCATAACTTAGTTGTCCCTTTGAACCAAGATCTTGAGATCTCCAGTCAACATGGCAGGGTTACCATTATAAAGATCTTACTTAGTAGGCTTAATCTCATTCCCTTCGATGTGCAGTATGCTTGATCTCTTGGTAAACATATATAAATGGATCCACAAGTTTACACCAATGAGATCAACTGTTTTATGATATTATGTCTACGACATACATGTCTAGACTTACCATTCTATGTGATTTAGTATCTTTTCAAATTTAGCTAGCCAATGATCGATTCATTTGATAAATACACATTGTCACCAACTAAGAAATCCTCTCATGAAACTACATGCTTCTCATTAGCTTTATTTAAAGCTTTATCAATTCCAAACAAAAATGTTGGAGGATTTCTAACGAACCGTTACACTAGTCAATCATATTTACTAGTGGATTTCATACATGGGTATTCAATATCATCATTAAAGCATTGCAATGCATTCGAACTTTATGAATATTTTCAAATATTCCAATTGTTCTTGTATATCCAAACAACTGTCGTGATCGGCTTTCATCCCATTTCATCCACTTTAGACTTAGTATATATGATCGCATTACAATATCCTTTCAATACCGTAGGATATCTTGTGAAATGTAATCCACAGGTCATGGTATATTTCAAATACCCAAGGACCCTTGTCAATGCCACCCAATAATCATGGCCTGGATTACTCGTGAATCTTCAAGTTTATTCACAGCAAAAGCATTATCCGATCGAATGCATTTCGTAATATACATTAGATTGCTAATTACTTGTGAATATTTCAGTTGTGACACGCTTTCATCCTTATTTTGACCAAGTGTAGACTTGTGTCAATACTTCAAACTTTTTAAATATTTTCTCAACAAATGAGATTGGAAAAATACAATTCCTTCCGTTGTTCT